TGCTGCACCGCCACTGACTAACAGGCCGAGCCACCGTGGACAGAAAGCTCTTGACATTGAACCAAAATAAAACTCTGCCTCACTACGTTGGCATCTCTGGTATTCTACCACAGTGATGAAAAGCTGAGTAATACTTGTCCTTCCAAATCCCATAATTGGATCACTTAGGCTCTCTACAAACAGCAAGTCAAGTTCAGCACTTTATTGATAAAATAACCCCATCAGTGCACGATACCCACCCCCCACATCTGGGAAGGCAATAGGTACTGGTTTTACATTCACAGAGTTTACATCAAGACAACACTGCTACATCAGCTGAACAGACTTAAATAAAATCTGTTCATAAATAAATACGGAGCTGGAGATCTAGCTCAGTGGTTCATCAGGTACAGCACTTGCCTAGCACACAAAGGCTCCGGGGCATCTGGAAAAAAACAAAACTATCAAAAACAGCTTTCCCAGAGCCAGGGATTTAGCTCAGTGGGGCTGTGCCTGCCTCACAAGCACAAGGTCCTGAGTTCAATCCCTGATGTGGGTGGGGGACAGCTTTCCCTAGACAAAATAAGTATGAAAAAGCAGTAGTCTTCAAATTCTGTTAATAAAATATTACCTCAACATTTTCTGTGATTTGAAAGACTCTGTTAATGCTGTGGTAGCCGACATATTCAAGAAATCAATGTGGTTAGTCCAATACCTCACAGAAAATAAAAAAATGATAAAAGTAGAAGGAAATGTTAGGCAACCTGACTTCTTTCTGAATGAGTGTAACAAGGAAAGTTCACCTCTGCCTGTTGCACTACTGAAGGGCTTGGATGGGTGAAGGGGCCAGAGCCAGGAGGTACAAGCACAAGGGCAGCGTTGGTACAGGGGCTCAGTGAATAGCAGACCCTGTGGCCCAAATGTGCACTGCAGAGCACCAGTCAGAGGAAGGCTTGTGAGTCAGGCCAACCACACACGAGGGAGGAGCGAGGTGAGATGACTTCGCAGCAACCCTATGCACAGTATTTACAGGGCTTGTGACTCACCTCAAGTCAACTGCATGCCTTCATTCACACCTGCTGACTTTTGATCAGTAATCATTGTCGTCATACAATTAGACGGGAACTCATTGTGAGTCACCAGAATTACATAAGCAACCCCATCCATCACAATTAGAATCAAAATTACTGTGTCGAGCTTAACAGTTTCCTGGAACTCAGTCAGGGACCCAAGGTGTGAGGTGGGCAGCTCTTCAAAGTCGAGCAGTCAGAGACTGGGGTGTACCTCAGTGGTGAACACCTGCCTGGCAGGTACAAGGTCCTAAGTTTGATCCCTGGTACTGGAAGGAAAAAAAAAAAAAAAACAAAGTTGAACAGTCTCTCACACGATTTCCAAGAGACTAACATGAAACCTGCTCCAACCTTGCAGAAACATGGTCCAGGGCCAAGGGAACGCCTCTGTCCCGTGGGGAAAGGAAGGCGGAGGAGAAGCCCTGAAGGAGCCGTTAGCATTCTCTTCTCTGTCCTAGCTTCCTGGGCCACGGTCCAACCACATCCACTCTCAGGATCAGGACAGGGGTCAGGGACATTACAGTTCCATGCAGCCCACGCTCAGGATAACAAGGTTAATGTGAAGGGGGAAAACACGCCTTCATCTTTGTGCCTTCAACCTTGAGGAAGGCGCCGCAGCAGGGGTTCTTAAGGACGGCTTATTCATAATCGTGTCTGAAACTCAATAACGGTGCAGCAGGACATGGCTAAGGAGAGAACTGGCTAACTACAAGCATAATGTTTCCCTAGGCTCACCTTTGAAATGGCTTATTTAATCAAAGCTCATAAGAAATATAACGCGAGAGGGACTTGATAGGGAGAAAGACTTGAAATTTGTTTCAAAATATGGACCTCACTCAAGATATGGAGAGCCTTAGAAAAGCAGCAGAAGGACTGCGCGCACAAGTACGTACAGAAAATCAATGCAACTGTTTCCCTTGTCTGGCCAATCTCTGCCAGAAGCTCATCCAAACCTATCATGAGGACCATGTCACCCACAGACATGTGACAATCACACCCGCAGAGCTGCCGGAAACCCTCGCCTACACGGCCTGCTCCACATAGACTAGGGGAACACTAGGGGAGCACCTCTGGGGACAGAAACACACAGCCCGGAAGACAGAGCTTGCACCAGCCAGAAACACAGCGCTCAGGGCATTTCGTCAGCCTCTGTCAGCGGTCCAGGATGGTGACACTGGTTCTCTGAGGACTGCCAACAGCAGCCTGCATCTGTGCACACCCACAAGGCCCAGCTACCCCCGGCATGGAGTCAGAATGGAAGCAAATTAGAGTTTATCACAGAAGCCTGTGAGGTTGGATCCCGGTCTCCCAGGGACTACACCTTCCTGTCATCTCTGGCTCCCAGGACAGCCTTAGATAGCACTGTGCCCGATAACTGTAAGAGTCGGGGCCAGGGATTTAACTCAGTGGTTCTGCCGCCTACCTTGCAAGCACAAAGTCCTGATTTAGATCCCCGGTACCAAAAAAGGAACTGTAAGAGTAGATTTCACAGGCTGAAAGGAAGGGCAGCCACTCTGAATGAAACACAACACACTTCAGAGGGACCAGCCTTACTCTGTACCAGCACGATTTATATTTTCTCCTCCTGTCCACTTCCACTCCGTGCTGCAGTTTCCACGAAAAAGACCAGCATCAAAAAAATAGAGCATGCAGGCTGCAGATGAAGCTCAGCAGCCCCACGCCTGCCTGGCAAATGCAAGGTCCTGAGTTACATCCCGGTACCAGAAAAAAAGAAAATAGAGCAGGCAGATGTATGACAATTATTATTACTAAATAATCCAGCTGGGGATTTAGCTCAGTGGTTCAGTGGCCTGCCTTGCAAGCGCAAGGACCCGAGTTCGATCCCCGGTACCAAAAAAAAAAAATCCAGCATGTAAAAGTGTTCATAAAAATCTTTTAAAAATCCTACACCTGTTACTGGGCACCCTCGCCTAGATATGATTTTTTCTTTGTTTTGTTTTTGTTTTTGTTTTTTGAGACAGGGTCTCACTACATAGTTGAGACTGACCTGGAACTCACTATGTAGCCCAGGCTGGTCTCGAACTCACAGCGATCCTCCTGCCTCAGCCTCCTGAGTGCTGGGATTACAGGCATGGGCCACCAAGCCCGGCCCAGATATGATTTTTTTTTTTAATCCCTTTAACCTGGAAATACCTTGCAGCTTCTTAAATTCATGGCCCAAGACATGCATTACAAGCACCTCAATACCATACATAGGGCCACAGCATTCACTCAAGTCTCACCAAAGGCAACAGAACACTGGCAACAAAGTTTGTTCTTTCCCTAACTCATAAGGACATACATTTTAAAATGTACTCCAAGTGAAAAATTGGTAGATTTGTTATATCTGAAAGTATCTGACTAAAAAAGAAAAAAAAAAACATAAAACTCACATATGGTCAGAAATACCCAGGTTAAGCTGAGTGTGGCAGTGCAAGCCTATAATCCCACCACTCAGGAGGCTGAGGCAGCAGAATCGCCACAAGTTCGAGGCCAGCCTGAGCTACATAGTGAGACCCTATCTCCAAAAAAAAGAGAAATATCCAGGTCAATGAACATATGCTTGGTGAGCACACACCAGGGGGCTCTTCTAGCTGCTTCAATCATTTGAAGAACCAATTACACAAAAAATGCACAGATCTTTTCAGTTAAAGACCTCACTATTTCCAAAACACATGACAGTACACAATTTCTAACGACTGCTTTTAGACCAACCTCCAAAGAGAAATTCCCTCCAGTGAGATGTCTGACAGTTTTACTATTAGAGTGGGGGGGGGGCACCGGGCTGGGGATTCAGCTCAGTGGCACAGCGCCTGCGCAGAGTCGCAAGGTCCTGAGTTTGATCCCCAACAGCAAAAAAAAAAAAAAAAAAAAAAAAAAAACACTTTCTGCAGTTCTTCTGTATTGTAGGACTTCTGAGCGTTTATCACTCTGCAACAGTACTCTCCAAAAAGAGGGGAGGACATGTGATGGCTCCTGAGCTGATTTCATACAGTTTGCCATGGTTGTTTTGAGGAGATTTTGGTGCTGGGGATTGAAGCCAAGGCTTCATATGTACTAAGCATGGCATGCCTCCAGCCAAAAGGTTTAAATTTCATGTACAATACTACACATTAGCTTTTACAGTAAGGCATATTTTGAGGGACACACTCTGAGAACCTCAAGTCAGGAGTGACGGTGCTAACAGAACCTCAGTTACAGGCACTGATTTGCAGGCCCTCCTGCCACTCCCGCTGTAACTGGACGTGGTTCACATGGTCCCCAAGGGCTCCTGTGTGGGAGGTGTGGCCCCTGACATGGCAGGGCTGCAGTGGGTCAGACCTTTACCAGGTGGGACCCAGAGAGAGGCCCTGACTCAGCTGAGCGTACTGCTCTCAGTAACTCCCCCTGCAGCCCGTGGTGGTTCTTGCACAAAGAGGCTGTTAGAAAAGTTGGAGGCTGACCAGAGCCACACTCTCTTCTTCCCGCCTCACCCCGTGATGCTGCCACCCTGAGGTCCCACCCAGAGTGGGGCAGATATGGGTGCCCGGAATCTCCAGACCTGTGAGCTAAATAAACCTCTTCTGGCATGAGTAGGCTCCTCGGGTACTTTGTTATAGGGATGAAAAGCTACCAGAGCACCGCCTCCGTTCTTAAACTGCTGACTGGACCTTTAGAACCACGGGCAACCATATTCGAATGCATGCACTTAGTGTATGGGCTGCTAACGCGAGCACAGAATGCACGAGCTTAGAAAGCCAAGCCACACCTGTAAGAACGCACAGTGACCCAACACACGGTCACCCTGGTGACAAAAGTCACCCGAAATTCTGGCAGCTGCTACTCTGCCTTGAGGACAGAATCAGTGATCCAAGGCCCATAGAAGCACTCGTCTCTTCATATTCCAAGTTCAAATGGTAAAAGCTACTCAAGTCGAGTATTTTAACAATCATAACGAAAAGGAAGACTCACCAACAGAAGCTGAATTTTTAAGCACCGACTCCTTTGGGGCACCTTTTTCAATTCGGAGCGTGGCCCACTGTTCAAAGAAACAAGTATTAAACTCCTGAAGACACAATGGGAAACACTTAAAACCATGCTCATACAGCAGAGAAATGAAGCATTAAATCCTGGCACTGTTGCGTTCACGAGACACCCTAGTTAACCTGGTAATGCGGCATTACAAGCCCTAGGTGTACCCTTATTTTAGTCACAGATGAAGCCCCCCGTAAAAACAGGAAAAATCTTAGCCCTGTCTAAATCTCCTCACATATACCTATGCCCTGGTAAATTATTCCTTGGAGGCTCTGAGGTGAGGAAGGGAGAACAACTTATAGCACCGAGAAGCTCCGGGCTTGAGGGCTTGAGGTGCAGCTCAGTGGTAGAGCATTTGCCTAGCTCAGAAGAGGGCCTGAGTTTGATCCCCAGCAGTGTTAAAAAGGCCTCGGTGTTCTCACCCTAAAAGGAGAATAATCATGCCCATCTCACGGGGTTGTTGTCAAGATTAAATGGCGTAACATGTGCAAAGACCTAAATACAGGGCACAAAGTGTAATGGCTATTTTCACAGCGAACTAGTCATTCAAGTGTGAGATACATTTACAGAGACAAGAGACACAGCTTGTAAAGGGTTAGGGTTGCTGCTCGGGGGTAGAGTACCTGCCTAGCATAGGTGAGGCCCTGGGTTTGATCCTCAGCACTGAGAAAGAAGAAAAAAAGAGAGACAGACAGACAGACAGAGACAGAGGGAAGGAAGGAAGGAAGGAGCATCAGACTTGGAAAGCTGGGAATAATAAAAGAAATTAATACCTAAAACAACCACCCATCCCCATGGCTGCTTATCTAAGATGACTGGAGAAAATGGCATGATTATGAGACCCAGAGCTTGAAAGAATTTAAAAACTGAGAAACAACTCTCACTTTGCTTTGAACATACAGAGAAGTGTTAAAAAAAAAACAAAACAAAACACCAAGATGGGATTTTCTCTGTTATTGTTGTCAAGGTTGTTTCGTTTTTTGAGACAGGGTCTCCCCGTGTAGTCTAGCAGGCTGCCCTGAAATATGTACATATCCCAGACTGGCCTCAAATTCATGATCTCCCCTGCCTCAGCCGCTCAAGTGCTAGGATTAACTATTTTTCTTTGTACATTTCCTATGCATTTCTAAAACTGTTTACCCTTTAACGTCATAATTCTTTTTTATTTTATTTTTTGTTTGTTTTTGGTACCAGGGATTGAACTCAGGACCTTATGCTTACGGAAGCAGGCAGGGGAACCACTGAGCCAAATCCCCGGCCCCCATAGTTCTTTTTTTAAACATCGGTTTCAAAAGTATAAGTGAACTTTTTCAACTCAGATTCTAGAAAATCCCCAAATGCTGTTTTTCAGTTTAAGAAATATGGGTTTGTAAGCGCAGCTCAGTGATAAAGCACTTGTCTAGTATGCAGAGGCCTGCATTCACGTCACAGAGCCACAACCCCGTAAAAATAAATAAATAAAATAAAAGGTACAGTTACCATGCTATCTACAGGGTTACAATTCAGAAGCAAGCAATGTCTAAACTGACTGACTTGAGAGGGAAGAGGTAAAAACATCACTGCCAGGAAGGAGCAAAAAGAGTTATTAATAAATGAAGACAAAAACCTCAGCTAGTGCGAGCCTCAAAACAAGTGCATTAACTGGAGGGATTAAAACCTTTCGTCAAATAAAGAAGAAAACACTGAGAGAGAATGAACAGCCTAAAACCTACGTGTGAAGGTCAAGCACTGGGTCTGGCTGCCACAAGCCCAGCACAACAACCCCAAAGCCAAGTGGGCATCACCGGGCACAGAGGCAGACCTATAAATAGAGGCCTAATCCTCTTAGCCCTAATCTGGCTGTATCCTTTTCTTTTCCTGCTGACTGACTTCCTGCAGGACTTCTCAAACTCTGACTCCTGTCTTTTCTCCACAGAGACAAAGGTTCATTTCTGTGCTTTTTCATTTAAATCTGTGGCACACATTAAACCCAGGATAGGACAAAATAAAATTTTGTAAACAATCTATTATTATTAACCTCATAATTTACTTTTCTATTGTGCACATAAGACTTGAAATAAATGTAGCTATCTTAGAGTAGAATAATTTTCCCGTGCTCACATACAATGGATAATACTGGTGTTTCAGGGCAGTTAATAGCTATTGTACCCCACCCCTGATATCCAAAGTTGAAGCTGGAACTGCCAGTACTTCAACAAGTATATTGGGATTTAAGGTTTGTAAAGAGATGGTTAATTTAAAATTAAACTCTTCAGCCAGGCATGGTGGCACATGCCTGTAATCTCAGCACTCGGGAGGCTGAGGCAGGAGGATCACTGTGAGTTCGAGACCGGCCTGGGCTGCATAGTGAGTTCCAGGTCAGTCTCAACTCCATAGTGAGACCCTGTCTCAAAAAGCCTAAATAAATAAAATTTTAAAATAAAATTAAGTTCTTGGAGTGGCCCTACCTGACTGCTGTAAGAGGAAATTTGGGCACCCAGACACCACAGATGTCTGCACACAGAAGAAACATCACATGGGGACCACATGCAGGCCCAGGAGTGAGGCCTCAGGATGAAGCCCAGACCCTCCGCCCTCTGACCTTGGACTCCCGCTCTCCGGAACTGTGAGAGAGCACAGCTCCGCTGCTTACTGCTTAAACTGCCCAGGCCGCGGGACTTGTTTTGGCAGCCCTAGCCAAGCAGGCAGTGGTGTCCTCACAGGGAAGGCGACACTGCTCCCCCAAGCCAGCGAGGCACGCAGTGACCCTGCTTACGACACGCAGACGGTAAGGGTGGAAGGAGCAGCCGAGCAACTCCTACGGGGATCCCCAGTGAACACGCTTCTCTCCCAGGTCTCTGCTGCAGTGGCGGGGAAGCTGCCGACCGTGCTCTGCAACCAGCCCAAGGGCCGACGGAAGTGCAAGCCTGCGGCCTCCTGGCAGGAGCGGTTAACCTCCCGGGACCCATTTCATCATCTCCAGAAGGGGGACAACAAGGGTGGCTGAGAAAATGAAGAGAATTTCTCCGGTGCCCACCCTATAGTAGGCCACCGGGTAAACAAGGATGGCTTCCTCCAGGGTTAGTGTTTCGGACCAAGGGGGAGAGACCAGCGCCCTTGCAGCCTGGTGAATTTCTCTAGTTGACGGGATTATCTCGGACCCAGAGTCTGACCCCTCGGTTTTACCAGGCTCCAAGTCTTAATTTCTGTCCACCTAGAGTTAGACTTTCAGAGATGAGCTCGTACTCAATCACGAGTTTAATCCCCCGCAAGAAAATAGATTTTCCAATTTTAGTGGGAGATGTACCCGGTGTTCCTATGTTTGTCTTTCATGACATTCCAGTCCTAAGAATAACCTTTGGGCTTTTTAAATAAGAATGGGAGCGTTCTCAAAGTTCTTTGGTTATAATCAACATACCACGCTTACTTTATTTACTTTTACCCATTATGTATTTTACTTTTACAACTTTGTCAATCGATGGCTTTTCCATGATCATTAACTCAAACTGGAGACTGAATTGGGCACATAGCAAACTTTCTGAAGAGCTGACTGTAGTAGTTGTTACTGTCAAGGGGCTCCCCAAACTGTATGCTTCTTCTGTCTGTTTAGCTTAACAGTTTATGTAATAATCACATATTGAGAAGGAATTGCATATCTTCTGTATTACTGGGATCTCTAGATATGCGCATAGGTTCCTGACAGGACAATACATAATGACTTGGCCTAGAAGCCGGGCATGGTGGCACACGCCTTTGATCCCAGCACTCAGGAGGCTGAGGCAGGAGGATTGCTGTGAGTCGAGACCAGCCTGGGCTATATAGTGAGTTCCAGGTCAGTCTCTACTACATAGTGAGACCCTGTCTCAAAAAACAAACAAACAAATTTTAAAAAACATTGAAATGTGCTATCAACCATGAAAATTAATCATAAGGTTAGGCAGAGTGGGAAAGGGTTTTTGTCAGGATTCACGACTGGAGAGAAATAAAGAATGGAAAGAGAATATGGAATTGATGGAAAGATTAAGACACGTTATGTGCATGTACCAATTCCTCATGATGATTGCAGTAGTGGACCAGGGATTTGCTCAGTGGTACCACCACCTGCTTCGCAAGCACAAGGTCCCAAGTTCGATCCCCAGTATAAAAAAAAAAAAAAATACAGTCAGTTTGTACAGTAAACATACACTAATAAAAATTTAGAAGGATTACAGTGGAAGGAAATATATAAAATAAAAACCATCTAATCTAACCAGATAATACAGACAATGGACTTATAGCAAGGAATAATTTTTTCAACACTTTGAGGAGTAAAAGCACAAAGAGGTTGCTCCAAATTTCTGACTCTGTGCCCTGAGACAGATCACTTTGCATCTCAACCTTGGTTTCTACCTGTTTATAGAAACATGCTTCACTGGTTTATTCTATAGATTAAATATCTGGGAAGCCCCAGATAAGGACCAGCTCTATGGCCAAGAATTCCAAAGGCCTGACAGTAGGAAGCAGCTAAGAAACTGGAGAGTGACTGCGCTCAGGATGGAATAACAGTCGAAAAAGTCCAACCCAAGGAAACATCTCCCAACTAGTAACAGCAGAACTTCAAAATATGATGACTGAGCATGAAAAATCAAATAGCCACAAAAAAGAAGGTTCGTAGAGTAAAAGAGGACATCAGCAGGTGTCCCAATATTGACGAAGAGTGGATAAAGTCCTCCAGACAGAAAATGAGGGCAGAAAAATGGGAACCCAAACCAGAGGTAGAAGCCAGAGAAATATGGTAGACTGAGTAATCATGAGTATTTTTTTAATAGCTGCAAACACATAGCACCTAAGACACACAAACATCTAAGATGAATGTATGGGAATGGGTGTTACTGTTACTCCCATCGTACAGATGAGTAAAATGAACAAGTAGATGACCAGTATGAGGACACACAGAGAACCACAGCTGGGATTTGGGCACCAGATCTAAGCAAAGCCAGTCTGTCTGCAGGGCCTTTCAGTTGACTCCTGTTTTCACATTAATGCCATTGAACCCCTGAATTCTGAGACCAAGGCTCCTGCACTGTACAGGGCATAGCACTTGCCCTGCCTTCCTGGCTAGGCCTTTTGAAACCTAACAAGAGCCCTGTGAGGTTAGAAACGAGCTTCACTGGGTTATCTTATAGATAAAATGAGGAGGGTAAATCAAAGCACTTGCTACATTTGTTTTTTGTTTTTGAGACAAAGTATGTGAGGTTAACAGAGCTCCCTGTAAGGGTAAGCTGCGGTTAACAGAGCGAGGTCCAGCTGTTCCATCCACAACCGTCCTCCACACACTGGAGAAAAAAAGCAGCAGGGGTGAGGTCAAAGAGTACACGTTTGCAGGGCATTTCCAGTGTCAACGCTAAGATAAACTTTTCCTGACTCCACCAGAATAAAATCAGATTTTTTTCTGACACCCTGCAATTGGCTTCTTATCTTGGGCATAAAGCAGAACACGTTGACTTTCCGGACAAGGATGCCCAGTGCCCCAAGGACCTCTGGAACCTGGGCTGTAAACTAAGGGCAGGGAAAGGACCGCGCAGGGCTCAGGGGCTACGAGCGATTGCGCATATGCCAAAGGCTCATCAGTAAGAGGACGCAGACGTCAGGCCCGGGTGCAGTGGTCCCACAAGTCGATCCGGGAGTCTGAACCGTGGGGGTGCTGCGGATGGGAGGGGACACCGACCTCCGGGCCGCTGCCTTCCGGCTACTGGACCCATCTCTGCCCCGCTCGGCTGTCGCAGCCTCCTTCCCCGCCGCTCCGTCCCCGCCGCCGCGGCCCTCAGGTCCCCCTACCCTCCGCCGCTCACCTCCAGGGTCTTCACCAGGATCCTCATGTAGACCTCGGAGATGCCCAGCGACAACCCGAAGGCCGAGGGCAGCAGGATGAGGCCGAGCACCAGCGTCAGCCAGGTGGAGAGCACCTTGGCGACCAGGTCCGCGCCCTCCATGCTCGCCCCGCCGAGCACACGCGCAACCTTTGTCGCCTGCTTCCAGGTGGCCGGGCTGGGCTCTCGCGACCTCTGCGGCGGGAGAGGAAGGAAACCTGAGAACCGTGCGACCGCCTCCTAGCTCCTTCCTTCCTTCCTCTCCTGTTCCCCAAGCCCGCGGTACACTGTCCGATGGGGGCCAGGGCGGAGGCCGAGG